TACACTCTCTTAATTCTTTGTCTCCACGCGTTTTTCGACCCTTTACCGTTTTATGGATGGATTTTTCAAAAACAAATAATAAGATTAGTCAGTATAGAAATTTAACACAATTTAATTTTCGGAAATGTATGTGCAATATGTACTAGCCATGACCCGTCGCTGGTTATTGAACTGGAAGACATGTGGGCTGACGTTCGATAACGGTCCTCGAACTTCGAAATTTTGCCTACAAAAGTACTACAAAGCGATATCTTCATATTTTTTGGATAAAAGATACCGCTTTCGAGGTATCATTGGAATCTATTAATTTAATTTCTAATGTTACGTAATAATTGTTAGCAAAATTCAAATTAATTTACTATTCATATTTACACACAATAATGAGAACAAAGTCGCTTTTTGAATACAATAAAAAGTGTATTCATCGATTTGTAAAAATAATAATAGACGTTAAAAAACAAATCTGTATACAGGTAGTGCCATTAAATTGTAATAAATGAAATTAATATATTTTGAAATTTAATCTTTACTCTGTAAACTGCAAATCAATTGTAAAAAGAGAATGTTTATGTTTGTTTTAGGTTTTTAGTATAAATTGTTAGTGGTTTCCAAGATAGAGGGCATTAAAGGCTTTGAAAATTTCGCATTTTATCAATTATCTCCGAACTGTTTGAGGTGGATTGATGAAAACTGAGGAAATAATGTAAGTAATTAAAGGGAATAATTCGGTATATTTTTGTATACAAGGTGATTTCACTTTAAATACAGAAACTTCAGAAATCGATTAGTTGCCAAAAAATAAGTAGAATTTGCTCTATAAACTTTTTTCCTGTGGGACGTGGTACGCGAGATACTAGAGACTCAAGTTTAAAAAATATATATATTTTCCGTCATAACTTCAAATTGTGCTTAACGATTTGAATGAAATTTACTACAGCGAGTGATGTACCCAGTATAATATATTTTTTGATGATAATGTAATGCTTAGATCATAATAGTACGACTAGATGTCATGAACTTTCCGTATCGTATAGAGATAAAAATAATACCAGTCAGCTTTTTAAATGAATATAAAAACGCTTTGCAAATCCTAACATTTAGTCATAATATTGTAACGAAAGTTAATAAAACTTGTGCTTATTACATCATACTTTTGAATTAATTCTTGCAATTAAATTCAACAAGTAAAACTGGCGTATTCACTTAATTAGACCTATTATTGATTGTAATATTAACCTTGTGGCACTAACCAGTGGCGTTCTACTGAAGGTGCCGCTCCGTTTTCCCAAGAAAAAAATACACTACTGGCGGTTTTTTGTAGTAATAATGTAAAATTCATGAATTTAAAATGAAATTACATTGCAAGAAACAATTTACTTAGTTTTGGAATAATTCGCCGGAAAATATTTATACAAGTATGTAATGTGCGCTTTGTACAGCGTTTTGCCTAAATTTAATTTGCTCGACGCATAGTAACTTCAAAAAAGTTGCGCAACTATATTTTATCAGATTCATTAAAATAAGGACCAGTAAGGTTAATATCTGAGGGTGTGTTTAAACAATGTATATCAAAAGAAACTGGTGGTAGATATCAATAATGCAGGGGAACAGTTTTAACACTGGAAGAATATTTATTTACTACAGAAAAAAAATTATTTACAGAGAATCGATCAGTTAATTTTTCTCATACACATAAATGTGATTCCGAAATACTAACTTAAAGTGCTTTATAAGAAGTGATATTATGTAAAATAGATGTTATTGTTGGTATTGTTACCGTTTATACATGGGTCATCACAAAGCAGTTATCTCGACAACAGCCGGGTCATACGTCAGAAATTAAGTGGGTATATGAAACAAATAACAAAGTTACTGTTCTGTCAATAAAAACAAATAAATAGGTAACTCACCGGGAGGTTACACTCTCCCTAACCTTAGGATTCAAGGTATATCCTTCCATACGTTTCCATTATATCAATTAGCAACTGTGTATCATTCTTTCTTCAACAACTAGCTAGTGTCACCTGAAATAAGTCGAAGCTCCCGCGGACGCCAACTAGTAAGCATCCCAACTACCGGGTGTGTGAGTCACACTATTATTATTAGAAAAAAATACCCTACTCAACACCACTCAGTATGTGTCAATCAAAGCGCATGTAAGACCCCGTAGAACTTACAAGACACACTTTGAGGGAACCACAGCCATAAAGACCGGGAACACGTGGCATGCCCTGGGGTTTTCAAAAACATAAACGAGTATGGCATATTACTCACAAATTCACAAAACATTACACAAATATATTCAAGCCAGCACACAGATATAATAATCGACCTTATTCGGGCGCTGGCCAGGCACCACTGTCTCAAAGAACACCTCTCTCACTTTCGGCATCCTGAGCTACATCTTTGTATATACCCATAAATTACGTTATCTCAAGGGCACATAAATACTTGGCTGGCGCATTCCGTGTATACAGCTGAGGTTTGATTCAAAGCAACCACGATAGTTTTATTTCATAATAAAATATATATTGATTCGTATTATTACAGTACATTAAAAATAAACAAGTGTTACAATTATCATCTTACCCCTTCCTTCCTTCTATTTCTTTTCAATCTTGGTGAAATCGTTCACCTTGCACCTTAGGGTCATCTAAGTTATCGGATAAGTAATCAACGTGAGAATGCATAAAGTCCAGTTTTAGGCTATCGAACATGAACTCTGAAATTATCCAACACTTTCACTATTAGAGATTTATAATTGTGATTTTTGTGCTTGTTAAAGAAGCTTTCCGTTAATTATTGAAGCTTTGCCATGCATCCTTCCCAGTTTCATTTATACTCAACCCATAATATTCACCTTCGTTGTCCAAAGCCTTCCGGAATTGTTGTTCCATTGGTCACAAGATTTTTGCTTAGTGGAGGAAGCAGCTCTGTGGATGGACCCCGATAATTTTGTTGGTTACAGGGAAGACCAATTTCACCAAGATTTAAAGGGAAAAGTATCAGGATGAATATGATGGCTGGCTACTGTAGAATTAAAGGTTAAAGATAAAAAGAAAAACCCACTAGACAGCTCTTTTGAAGAGAAAAGTGTCCGCTACAAGCGAATGCATTGATTAAAGAAAGCTACCGAATAACCTTACTCTGAAATGTATACTTCCCCGGTGTATTTGTGAAACACTCTATTTTATGGGTAGAGATGGCATTTTCTCGAAAATAACACGCCAACCACCAAAAATTTTTTTAGGTGTATTAACCTTATTCTTATAGTTTTGAGTGTTTTGATTCCAAAAATAACATTAAAAACGTCATATCGCCCAACATTGGTTCACCTTGTAACATATGGAAAAACGCTATCAAAGATACTGGAACATCAATATGATGGACGATTACTGTTGATCACTTCACCGAGAGAGTCAGCAAACAGCGCATAAGAGAAAAGTCACATCAGGAGCTTTAAAAAAAAAAGGAAAAGAAAATATAATAAACCAATGAACACATGAATCCGTTGTAGAGTCTTGTATTAAGAATATAAAATATACTTCTATGTTTAAATAAAGTTTTGTGTGCACGTTAAAAGTTGATTACCTACTTTTCATTTTTATTGCATATTTAGAATACTTTGGCATATCTAACTAGATTGAATTGTTACTAAACTGAGGGTGATACAAATTAACAGAGATTTACCACCGCAAAAACTATAAAAATCGGCTATAAAGCATTAAAAAGCTTTTTTGAAGTATTTTTTGCAGGCCTGTGTAATGGGGACTAGTGCCAAGCTGAGTTCAGATTCGTGTTTAGCAGGTCAGAAAATATGGAGATAAAGTTATCAATTCAAGTATACAGGGTGATTCATTAACAATGGGAATATCGAAAGCTGAAGATACTACATGTGAATTGGCGCAAACATGCCTTATCCGAAAGTTGATAGTTTCGGAAATACAGGGCGTTGAAAGTTAAAATTTTAAATCGGTTTTTTGTGATTATTCTGAAAATATGTAGGTTAGGAACTTGAAAATTTGTGAAACTATATTTTTTTAGGCGACGAATAAGATGCGTGGTGTAATTTCAGCATTGCTCGTAGAGGGCGCCACTTACGACCAATTTTACCGAAAATTTAGTTAATAACTTTTTACCCTGAAACTTGATTCAAAACCTGAAAGAGCTATCATTTTTCCATTAATTATGTAATCTTGTTTCATTTCGGTATCTCGATCAGTTTTCGAGAAAAATCGATTTAGCGAACACTATGTTTTGATAATATGAGAAATTAAAAGCGAAACAAACCAAGTGTTTCTTCGTGTTATTACAATAATTAACAATAAAACAAATAAAATACGTAATTATGATTTAAAGTATTTGTTCGAAGAATCCACCGTTGTCATTGATACACTTTTTACGTTTTCTGAGAGATCTTCGAGTTTGAAACAACATATTGGGATTACATCTGACTTCTTTGGCAGCGATTTGTATTCTTTGCCACAACTCTACACGTGAACCAATAGACTATTTGTAAACTATATCTTTCATTCGAGACCAAATAGAAAAATCAAGAAGATTGAAGTCCGGACTTCTGGATGGCCAAGCAAAAATGCTTACATGGCCAATCCAGCGATTTGGAAAAACTGCATGAGCAATACTGAAATTACAACACGCATCTTATTCGTCGCCTAAAAAAATATAGTGTCACAAATTTTCAAGTTCCTAACCTACATATTTTCAGAATAATCGCAAAAAAACGATTTAAAATTTTGACTTTCAACACCCTGTATTTCCGAAACTATTAACTTTCGGATAAGGCATGTTTGCGCCAATCGTCACCATTTCGCGTGTAGTATCTTCAGCTTTCGACTTTCCCATTGTTAATGAATCACCCTGTATAGACCAGCTTCTATCACATTACGATCCTTAAGCATATTTGCAAATAATTAATTTTTTGGGGATTTGAGTAGCAGGATGTATTGAGAAATTATAAAATTATAGTACTGAATGTTTTTTATTATCTATACATGCAGACATAGTAAATTACAATTCATTAAAATAAACTAAATACGAATTTATCATATTGTTAACAACTGTTATTATTTCAATTTTTGATATCAAGTACCACAACAGTGTACCGAAAACGATGACGTGAAGAACACTGTCCAAAATCCAAAATCTGAAATAAAAAAAATAATGCATAATGGTAATGTTTGTTTCCAGTGGCACTGGAATTACAAAGAGCTACAAATATTTGAACTGAAAAGAAATCAATTTTTGGGCAGTGATTATTTTCTCTAGTTTATAAAAGAAAATTCTCTCCAACATTAGAAAATTTCTTACTCGCGATATTGGTCTAAAAGTGGGTGTACCTAACTGTGGCGTGTACTACGGGAACAATTATTATTACACCCCTATCATGTACAAAGGGTTCAGGCGTTAAAAAAACAATGATTTTCAGCCTCGTGTGGAATTTTACCAGTGGTTTCTACAATAAATGGCACAAGATCCGGATACTTTTCACGGATGAATGTTGTTTTACAAGAGGTGATATACTAAATTTCCACAACGTTCACTATTGGTGGATGCAAATTCTTACGTAGAGATCTTCGGTTCCAGCAACGGTTTCCAGTGAATGTGTGGCGTTGTGTTTTTGGTGACAGATTACTCGGTCTGAAAGTGTTGCCTGCACATTAAAATGGTGCTGCTTATTTAGAGTTTTTAACAAACGCCTTTCCGGATTTGTTGGAAGACGTCCCATTATAAAACAGTACCCAAATGCTCTTCATGCATGATGGTGCCCCTCCACCTGTTTCTTGTGCAGTTTGTGATTTTTTTATATAGGGACCAACTTCGGAAAGGTGGATAGGACGAAATGGCCCTGTACGTTGTCCAGAACGAAGTCCGGATATGAACCCTCTGAACTTTTTTGCTTAGGGATGTATGAAACAACGAACCGAACGCCTATTGTCGTTGTATCAGTTCAACAGTGTATTTTTGCTGTAGCTAATGAATTTCGATAAATGCCGGGAGTATTTGCACGTGCGGACTAATTTTTATCGTCGTTTAGAAGCATGTTTATTAGCAAATGTTGAAATGTAAATAGATGATGAATAAATTACTTTTGCAGCAATTTATTTTCCAATTATTAGGAACAGTAGGAAAAAAAATAAAACACTTCCATACTGAATTAAAAAGGACTCCATTATACCTAATCAGTATTATATTTGCAATTTGACTGAAAAGTTATATATATATTTATTTTTAACTTACATCATGGTGTTTCTTAATCCTTTTTCTAAATTGTATTCTTCATCAAACAGTAACTTTGAGGAAGATATCTTTGCTTGGCGACAAAATGCATATCTACCATCTGAGTTCAATTCAAAATAGTGTCCAAATGAAAACGTTTGTGTCCCATCCTCATCTACATGTTTCTGTAAAGCTTTCACTTTTGCATTTTTAAATTTCCATGAATTTCTCATAAAATGTGATAATGCCGTATTAGCCAAAAACAATTTCCGCTGAATTTTAAGAATCCTAAAAATTAAATATGAATCGTGCACTAGATTGGAGTGGTCGAGCCTTCTTTAATTTCTTTAAAAAAAAGAAAGGAAATATACAGGGTCCCTTAAATGACACAAAAGTACAATGTTCTAAGCCAAAAATTATCTGTATACCAAGTTACTTCATTTAGTCGCTAGATACATTTTTAGTTCTTTTCAAACTCTTAAATCGGATTCTAATTAAAATGTGTGTGTTATTATTGGTATACAGGTGACTTTTTGACATAGTAACCGAAGTAATTTCATTTTCTACGAAATGGGAAATATAACAACTTCAGTTTTTATTTTTCTCTCATTACAAGTTTTTTGTTTTTTGTAAAATTGTTGTACACTTAACAGTTTTTGAGGAGGGTAAAATAACCTATTGTGAAACCCATTTTGAAAAAATATTGTAATATAAAAATAGAAATTTTTCAAATATTATCTAATGGTTTTGTTGAATAATCGCGGTCTATTTTGAGAAACAAGTATTAAAAGTATGATTTTGTAAATCAGTTTTATTAAAAACAAAACAATAATAATATAATAACTAGCAACTGAAAAGAAAGAAAACGTCTCCTAATACGAGACTGGTCATATACATAAGTAAATTACCTCCTAAACGGCTATTATTAAATAGCTACTACTAAATAACACCAAGAAACACTTTTCATTTATTTAAGATAACATTACCCGATTTTAACATTATTTCTACAAAAAACCACCAGTGGCATATTTTCTTCGTGGGAAAATGGAGCGGCACCTTCAGTAGCACGCCACTGGTTAATGTCAGAAGGTTAATATTACATTCAATAAAAGGTCTAATAAACTGAATACACCATAGTAAATTTCATTCAAATCGTTCAGCGAATTATGAAAATATGACAGAAAATATTATTTTTTTTTGGAAAATCGATCAGCCTCTATCTCGAATACCACATCCCCAAGGAAAAAAAATTATAGAACGAACTCTACTTATTTTTTGGCAACTAATATGTACCTGCAGTTTCTGTATTTAAAGTGAAATCACCCTGTATATTTCAAATAACATTACTTTTAATAAATTAACTACTTAAAATGCAAGATAATGATAAAATAAGTCGTTGTCAGCTATTTTTGCACATTGGTTTCACAAAAGCCTCATCTTCAGTCAAAGTTTAATTGTCAGTTAAATCTATGTCTAGAATTAATTTACAAATAAAGTTATCAGGTGAAAAAAAGACGGGCTACTCACATTTAGGTATTTATAGAAATAGAAACTTTACTGTCATGACATATATACTCATGTAATTTTTGTTAACACTGCTATTTTAATTTGCGTAAAAATTCTAGGTTTATTTCAAGGCAATTCCCAATATCCGCACTATTCGCAGATATTTGATATTATCTCAGCAACTTTTTACCCATTATTACCGAGTCGTTACCTCAAGTTTCAGTCTACGTCCAACATCTTCAGATATAATAGGCTGGGGAGTAAGCAATGTCCGTTTTTTTCAAATTTAAAAATTCACATGAAAATTAAACGGATTGTCAAATTGACATATGTCATTCTAAAGAGGACTTACTTATCAGGTTGTGTTTTTGGTTGCTTCGTTAGATTAATTTTTTTGTGAATTTTCATTCATTTCAAATGGAATGTCAAATTGAAAAAATTGATCATTTTCTCATTTGCTTCGTTTTGTTTTTAATCGAGCCGGTAAAGCCACTCAAGCCACTCATTTAATAATCTTACGAGTTGAAAAACTTTTTTTTTCAAATGGAATGACCCATATTATTTGTCATGGATGAATGCAAAAGCGAATGCCCTTTCGACTGATATAAGGTTGTCCATACGTCCATACTTATCTTTAACAGTGTTCCAGAAGAATCAGGTTCTTTTCTTAAGTCCGAAAAAGTAACTTTGTAATGGCGTGAAGAAGGTCTTGCAAAACCACTTTTCTCTCACATTTTATCAGGCCTGAGACTGAGAGTGTCAATATTTACTGGCATGTTTAAAAAGTTATTTGACAAACAAAAGTAAATCACTATCAACAACTAAAACAAAACGCAAAACGAAACAAATTGAAACTCGAAACACAAGGCGAAGAATACTTAGACCGCTGATTTACATCAATTGCTCGAAGTGTCCTCCATTTCGATTAATATACAAACGAATTCGGTTTTTAAAAGACTGTTCAACTTTGGTCAGCATGTCTGGCGTATTTTTTTGAAATGCTACTGTAATGCGCTGCCACATATCTTCCGCGGTAGTTGGTGGTGTAACGTAAACTTTGCTTTTTATAAATCCCCATAAAAAGAAGTCGCAACTTGTCATATCTGGACACCTTGAAGGCCAACTCACTGGTCCCTCGCGCTCAAACCATCTGTTGGAAAAGTTTCGTGTAAAAACTGACGAATCGCAGCGATATCGTGAGGTGGAGCATCATCATGTTGCATCCACATTCTTCGAAATGTAGCTAAAGGAATGTCGCTTAACAAATCTTCTAGAGTGTTTGTTAAAAAGTAAGTAAATAAACTGCTTGAGTTAGATGCCGGTCAAAAAAGAATAGTCCAATGACATGGGTTCCCAAAATTGCTCCCCACACATCTAAAGACTATGGACTATGGTTGGCTATGAGTTGTAAGGAATTGGTGAGGATTTACTGTCATAATAGTGGTAATTATGACTATTCGAAACCATTTTTAATTTAACATCTCAAGTGCCCACTGACAAAACTCCAGTCTCCGCTGAAAGTCTACTTTTAGTAACTCTTGGTGTAATTGGAAGCGATAAGGATGTGCTGTGCTGTACTTTTGTAAAATCCTATGTATCGACGTTGTACTAATACAATTGCAAGGCATTCTTGACGCTGTTACGTAGCTACTTTTTAGGACTTTAGAAAAGAACCTAATTTTTTTGGAAAACTGTTAAATATAAGTATGGACAACATTATATCAGTCGAAATGGTATTCAATTTTGCATTTACCCAGACAATTAATATGGGTCTTTCCATTTGAAAAAAAGTTTTTCAACTCGTAAGATTATTAAATGCAGGTCTCGGTATTTCCGAGTCTGAATAACGTACACGTTTTGCTCACAGATGACAAGATAGAGTAATTTATGCTAAAACGAACTGTGAAAACTGCAGGTTTCAAACTATTACGGTTTAGATTACTGGGATAACACATCTTTTATCTTAGCGTGCTACATTTAGCGTAAGCTACTTTGTCTATGCATGATTAAATCTTTTATAGTTGACACGTGTCTACACAATTTCTACGTTAACACGGAAATGTTTACATTTTCTATACCAAAATTATAAAAAATGTAATACATATAAAAAAATACAGGTAACATGTGTATATCGCATGAAAGAGGAAAAAACAAGCAATTTGTTGTAGCCACAGCCTGTTTCAATGACAATATTTTTTTGCCCGCTAGAGGGCGCAGCAAATTACATACGACAGTTTAAAAATCTGTTTGCATTAGGTGAAAGATATCAATTTTGCCATGACATTTTATTAAAATAAGTTTTCTCTATCTCTTAAAATAAAAATGTCAGACGGCCCTAAGCTTCCGGTACCTTTCCGATTTTTTTATGATTTCTCATAAAGTTGAACATGGATCTCAAATTTGTTTCTACGAGTATAAAGGCATCAAAAAATACAACAAAAAACATATAAAGATTTTTGACGTGCTTCGTATATTAAGCGAGATTCATAGGAGTGGCCCTTTTATAGTAGACAGCCTGTATAAACTGTTTTCTTATTTTGAGGTGTTCTTATCACTCGTCAGAGGTAGTCTGACATGTCGGGGCACCCTGTATATTATAAAATAGGAAGGGGACAATAATGAGGCTAGACCATTTACTTACATGGTTTTCTTTCCAAAAGCCTTTAGTAAACCATCAGCAACTAATGCAGGTATCAGATGATATAAAAGAAAATATGCATAAAACTTGTATAAGTTATTTACCATTGCACCTGAGGGATACCAAAATAAATTTGTATACGGTGCGTCCCATACTGATTTTCGGCCATAATCCAGTATTTCTTTGTAGGTCATGACTGTCTTCTCACCAGCGGCAGTGTTGTAGACTGGAATTTCATCCGGGTCCCTGAAATGAATTTAAAGGTAACTTTTTAATACTGTTGATCTTATTCGCTAATTAATGGAGTATATTTGTGTTGTTTAATGTTGCAGCATATGTGAACTGTAATAAAAAAGTAAAGGACTATATGGAAACTCAGAAACACTGTCCGGTTAATGTAGGACTCCGCAACGGTCTGCGAACTGCACTTCGTCGGAAAGCGTTCTGTATAACGACGCGATGCATTCGCAGCATTTTGCTGGCATTCGTCGTGGATTAACAATATATCAACAAGTTCTTTGCACAACTTTTAATAAAAAATTAAATGAAATACTGAATGATATTTATGTCACGCTAAATATAGTGTCCCTACAATATTTGCTGGGATAGAATTCCAAGAAAAGAATAAGCCAATAAAGTTCTGTTATCGGATCTACAGTAACAATTTATGGCGGCGTGCCTTGAAATTATCCGCGTTATTTTCAGAAGATTAATATACAGGGTGGACCGGTACAAAAAAGTATAGATGAGGTCAAAATAATATCAGTTCTTCATATATTTTTTTTCATACGGGCCTTCGTTAACAAGTTACGGGCCCACAAATGTGAAAACTAAAAAGTTATTTTTATTTACAGTCTCTAAACCATTAACGTCAGCATGATGCAAATTTGGTGATCGATAACATATACGTACAGCTTGTTTTTGACGTTGGAAGTGAAACTTCATTATGTCCAGAACGGCAGGGAAGGACTATGCCTAATGGTTAAAAATCCAGAATTTTTGCATAGATTACTATCGAAATCTGCCTGTATCAAAAATAAGTTCCTTGAAGAATTTGCCAACGATATACCCTCTTGGTTTAACTCGGTAAAATTAACGGTTTAAGAAATATTTGTGATTTTGTTTTTAATTTTTAATTGGACATAATTATGTTTAGCTTCCATTGCTTTATGCTCAAGGGCATATATTTTTCTAATGTAAAATTGTTATGATTATTCTTAAAAGATTGTTCATTGTTTGTTTCACGTTAAAAAAAATATATATTGTCGTGGGCGCCCCGACTTTACAATAACGAGTTCTTTATTTCACATCTAACTTGTTTTTGTAATGATAACGTTGTTCGAAAAATATAGATGTTTCATGAGAAAAATTCTGTGTATGTTTAGCCTTCATTGTCTTACGCTCAGGGGCGTATATTTTTCTAA